TTATGATGGCGGATGAATAAATAAATGTTCACCTTTACATGCTTCTTGACACGCTTCTCGACTTATGAAATTATTCGCATTCCCTTTCATTCCTTGATATACAAATTTTTTGCACATCTGCACACCCCCATCAAAATACCATCTTTCAAGATGCTCTCTACCTTTTCCCACCTCTAACTGCATATCGCATGGTCGACGAGCTGAAAAAGAGACGATTAACAGTTTCCGAAACAGTGGAACAATTTGCCCTGGTCAGTGTGATCATAAGGAAATATATTGAAGTATTTAACGCTTGTTGGCCAAATTCTTATATTCTTCCATTCATACTAATCACCAGCTCACGACTGCTTTTCATGGTGAAAGAAATGGAATCGCTATCAAAACCAGCGGAATTCTAAAAAGATGAGCGTAATCATACATCCTGGACAACAGTTAGTTGTTTCTGGAGAGCTTCCGACATGACAATAATAGCCACTTGGACAAGTCTCTGCACCACCACAGATCATCACTTCTTTCTCGGCATTCAATAACGGCTCACCGTAATTGCATGGATTCGCGGCCACTGAAAGTGAGTCACATTGACTGATGCCACACGATTAGCTATGAGATATACATAAATTCAACAGTCAACGGGCAGTGATGCTTTTTACTCTGATCTGAGGGCATCATTATTGAATTGTTTTCATACAAATGAGTTGTGTGGATTCTGACCGTGACAAAAAGATTCACAGTCGTCTTTCGACAAGAAATTATTCGCGTTTCCCTTTTGACCACGATAAGTGAATTCACGACAACGTCGAGTGGTTTTGTCGAAATAAAATCTTGGAAGCAGTGACAAGCCTTCTCCTTCAGATAATGGTAAATCGCACGGGTCACCTCCTGAAAAAAATATGTTCATAGAAGAGCCGGTGATGTGGTTCTCACGTTCGACTGTTCCATTACCTCTTCTCATGATCTGGCAAGCTGCCCTTACCCATCCCCTCCCCTTATTAAATATGGAAATCGCATATGTTACGCTCAGACGACCGTTACGTTTAGTTTTGTTAGCACGTCCATGATGGTAATCGACATCGCTGGGTCTTCTCTTT